GTAAGTTTAAAAAAAAGAACTAGAATTTTACTCCAAGCTACAGCTGCCCAATCGCAACATACTCCTAACTTTAAGCCATAACCCCAAAAAGTTGATTCTGTTCATCTGGACGAAGTGTTTTCAGTGGGAGAAATGTTTCATGACTCATCCAAGTGACTTCTTCAGTCTCAGCTGATTGAAGGTTTCCCCAACCTTATAGTACATTTGCACAATAACTGAAACCAGCTCACTGAATGAACAATGGGCTGTGAGGTCAGTTCCTTGATCATTAATATGCAAATTCTCATGACCATTGATCAACAACCACTGATCAAAGCCCACTGATCAATGGCCATGAAGACCATTCACATAGAGTTGGGGAATGGCTGCGGTCACAGCATCGTAAGATGGCAAAAGATGTACCCTCCTTCATTCAGAGATGGTCTTTCCCTTTTCACATAAATGACCCCCTTGACTCAAACCAGCATTCCTCCCTGTCCAGGATGTGTGCATCCTCATCATTGAAAGAGTGTCCACTGACCTGTAAGTGTAAATAGACTGCAGAGTCCTGACGAGTTAGCTCTTCTGTGTTGTGCCATCCACTTTGCGGACCTGATGCTTGGGGTGGACCAATTTTTGGCACAGCGTGTTTTGGGGTTTAAAAGCCACAGAGACGTGGTATTTAGAAAAAAAACGAGTTTCAACTGTTCCGATACTCCTGACACATACGGGATCACTACGGGTTTTCGCTTAGGCAGCAGTTGTCCTTCTCTCCTGGATCGGCTGGAGCTTTCTTTAGGTGCCTTCCCAGCTTTGACAAATGTCCAGCTGGGATAACCATATTTATTCGTGTCTTTACTTGTTTGTTGTGAAACTGGAAATTAGCTTTAGAAATGAAAACTGCATTTTTTTGCTACCAGGTAGTTTGATCATTAATTGTGGATAATACGACATGGGAGTCTTTAGGGACTTTCTAATTTTGGCGCCGGCCTCAAGGGACAATTAAAGAAACTGCCGTTTTTTGCCCCAGAGGTTGGCTCCTAATTTAATCTTAAATTAAAATAAAAGCTTGATTTAAACAGACATACTCGTGTGCTACCTGGCTTATTATGTAAAACAAATCTCTATATTAGCCAAAACATATGCTGTCTACAAGTAAAGAGTACAAAAATTCTTATTGTTGTGTTCAGTGACAGTCGATTTTCATTCTGTGGAAGGCTGAGATGTATTTTTGGCCAAAATCAGCAATACCTTAACAGATGGATAATTGAAAGACACTGTTTACAACCCAGAGGTTTGATTCATAAGCCAAAAAAATGTCACATAAAATACAGGATTATGATGGTACTTCTTTCTATTGTACATATTGTAATACACATCCACTTCTGCTGATGGATCTTTGCTCTAATTAGTCAACAAGCTCTGCTGCAAATGTGGCTTTATTTTTTATGCCACAATGTGAGCTGTGCCAGGCCAATGCTGATGTTGTCACAGCTCTGTGGCTGCCAAGAGAGGTCGATAGTTGCCACAGATTACTTAATGACACTTTATAAACAAGTGAAGAAGAATCTGCTGCAGTGAAAACAAGGAGGGACCTCTGAGTAAAGAACTCCAGTTGATTTAAAGCTGAGGTAGGCAACATATTTTTGTCTCATTGGACAAAAATCTATAATTGTAGCATCCTCAGCTAGAAAGATGGCCAACTTTTAAACTGATGCTCCATAAAGAAGTGCTCTATTCATAAATGCACCATAAGAGCTGAGAAATCAATGAAAGGCTGTCATGATACTGCCCATTTCCACTTTGACACACACACAAAAATTAACTTTATTTGTAGACAATAAACACAGGTAGATTTATACCATAAGCATGAAACTATCTGACAGTATATACTACGAAGTTAATATTGTGAACATTTTATATCTACTAGATACCTTAAACAGGAAGATATGTTATTTAAGTTAGCATTTAATAACTGTTTATTTAATATATAGCTACAAAAGCAAGCAGGCAGCCTGAGACAAGTAGCCAAAGAATGCTATAACATGCCAGCTAACCTTAGCATTATTCTAGCTTCAGTAAGAAAGACCTGGGCTAGGCTAATAACACAGTTTTATATTCAAACAAAACTGCATAGTGAAACAAAACTATACTTTTTATACCCACCAAAAACAATCCTTTATTTGCAGCAAGCAAACATTTTGTTCACTTTCCAGCGCTCACGAGGATTTTCACCACAAAACACTTGAATTGTCTGCCCTTGTTTGCCTAGCAAATTAGCTCATTTTGAGGTCTTCAAATAGAATACACAATAAATAAATAAAAATCACCTAAGAAAAAAAAGACCAACATAGACAGCAAATAGGAAATGTTCAAACCTCATAGAAGACAATACGGAAGACACCATCCAGAGTCTTAAGAGCTGCTGTGCACATATTTATAGCTTGTCAGCTTTGATCAATGACACAGATATCAAATATGAAATGGTTAAACTAGATCAAAAGTAAACGCTGTAATTTGAAAGTCATTTTGGATGATTGTAGCTTATGTATGTATTTATGTATCTCCTTCATAAAAAGTGGACCAATCCATGAACATCCTGACACATACAGCAATTATTAACATCTCTATATTTAAAAACAACAACAACAAAAAAAAACCCATTTATTATACATCCCAGTTCTTTTTATTTTAGTATATTATATTACCGGTCTATAATTGCGAAGGAATTTTGTTCAACTCACCACTAAATATAGAATGAAGAATCAGAACTACAGTCCTTAAATATCAGAGACATTGTAGCTTAACAATTAATTCTGGTGAAGCTGAAAGCTTGAGACGCTTTTTATCGACTGTTAGGACACCCAAAACTTTTATATAAAAACTTTAGAAAACTTTTTCCAAATTAAATTAGTTTTTGAGTGTTGTTCGTCATTTCTATATTATATACAGTGTATACAGATATATAGATCGAGCGATTAATTGAATTTATAGATATATTACTATTAAAGCTGTAATTTGAGGTTAAATGATCAGCCTGTAGGCAAATTCAGGCAACGAAGATGAGAATCTAGTAGGATACAATCTGTATTACAATTAAGATCTTAAATTAATGACCTTAGAAATCAGCGCATGTACTATGTCCCATTAATGTCGCTCTTAAAATAACAAGTTAAAGACACATATAAGTGTATATATTTAAGAATTTATAAACAAGGATGTTTTTTTTTCTGGCTACACACAGTGGCAAAAAAAATCTTAAGAATAACAAGATAAATGAACCTTATATGTCTGTGCTACACATGAGTGAAGTGCAAAAGTGCTGCTGTTTTACAATAATAACCTTTCATAACATTTTATTAAGAGTGACCTGACCAGAAGAACTAGTTATCTCTGGGTTTGGTTTTCAGGCTTTAGCTCCTTTAAAACCTAATTAGTTGAGTGTATAAAGTAGTAAGGAAAGCACAAAACTCCACATAGGTTAGTATGTATAGAAGCCTCAGCAGGTCTGGTGGGAGGGGCCTAGTACAAAAGGGGGAGGTGGGGGGAGTTATTTCTGCCTACTGCAGCTTTAAAGTTCAAGTTGTTAAAGGCAGTCAAACTTCATAAGGACAATCCGCTGCCCATTCGTTTCTATGTAACTTGTTTCTTTCCTCCCTTTAACAGCCTTCACTGTGAAGCCTCTGTAGAGATAAAGATGGGCTCGGTAGCTACTTTTTTATCTTTATTAGGATGTTTTAAAGTGTCATGGCACTGTAGTATGCCTCTGCTGCACTAATGCTGCCATCATTCATGCAGTAGCAGAGAAGCCCACGGCACTGAGCTTGAGGGTAAGAGCTAAATACGAACCTTTCCATCAAACACACAGACTAATTTAGTCGACAGGTGTATAGGTGTAGGCCGAAGGTCAGGCCTCACTTTTCCATATCCCTGCGTCTGTATTAAGCATTCTGTGCTCTAGATTATCCTCATGAGACAATGTTCCCCACACTAAATTGTACTGTACTACAGCGCTGGGGTACAGCTTACACCGTACATATGCAGGAGGCCATAAAGCTCAGCCTAGTTCTGTCTGTAACATGCACAAACATGACTCTGATTATGTTTTTCCCCTAAAAGAGAAGACTGACGATACTGAGGTTGTGCCAACGATAAAGCAGTACTGTACAACTCTATACTGTGAGGACTTTATCATCCATCCATCCATCCATCCATCCATCCATCCATCCATCCATCCATCCATCTATTGTCTTGTACTTATCGAATTCAGGGTCTTGCAGGGCCTGGAGCCTATCTCAGCTGCCATAGGGTGAGGAGCAGGATACCCCCTGGACAGGACTTTATCATTTTAAAAAAATATAATAAATAACGAGTTAGGCGCTGGCCTTTTTACATAGACCTGTCAGCTTAACTAGTCACTGCATTTGCTGAAAATGTGCATTTGGTATTTGGAATTCTTCAGGGACTTTGGCTAAAATTACTTCCTGCACAGAAAATATTTTTTATTAGAAGCAAAATTTTACAGCTGCCAGGCATTGTTTGCAGCTCTGCTGTCATACTCAGTATGCTGGATTCAGTGAACTTGGAAATTTGAATATGACCTGTTTTCACACAGTTTAATACCTAACCTGCTTCCACATAACCAGTCAGACTGCATTTATTTCAGCTCCTCTCCTTTCCAGTAACAGTAGCAATGACAGTGAAGGGAAGATGGACAGGATGTGTACGTATGTCACATATTTTATTTATGATTTTCATTTTTTGTTTTTGTTTGAGTTTTGTTAAGTCAGCTTGTCTGTCAGTCACATAAGCAGCTGCCGTATCACCACGGTCTTGAAAAGGAGGGTTTGAATCATGCGTACTGTGTGTGTGTGTGTGTGTGTGTGTGTGTGTGTGTGTGTGTGCGCGTGCGCCTTTCTGGGTGGAATGGAGTCTCT